TGGTGAAGACAGCCGAAATATCCAGCATAACAAACGTCACACCACAAAAAACCTGCTCCAAACGGAAACATCAATAATGCAGTAAACAATGACGCTAATGTTATATATAACACGATGGAATACTGCCAGCAGAGACAGACATGCAGTCACAGCTGAGTGTGGTTCTAATAGCCATCATCCTTGCCTCCGGTTCGTTTTCTCTATATCTCAATTCTGAGAGATTTTACTACCACCTTGTTCACTGCCGATGATGGGGCGTGTGAGCTTTGTTGGGTTTGGCGCGTCTCCAGCCCGTTCAACACCAGCTGTTGAAGCGGGTAAGGGGCAACGATTGGCGGAAAATGACCAGTACGATATGATACAGGCCAAGAAAGGAAAGGAACGGGGTGGCGGGCGCCAAACCTATCCTCCTGACACGCACAGTCATATTCAACGAACAAGACTGTACATTCCTCATGTATATGGGAAGGCATTTGAGGAGCTCAGATTGGAGCGCAACCAGGACTGCCGTTTTCCACTAACTGATCGCTATCCTGAGCTGCAATGAATGCAGGGAGAGGCTTTGCCTAGCTGCCGCTCCCTATATTCCTTGCGCCGCTCTCTCGTTTGCAAGGATAATGGGAGTGCAGTACTGGCTCACTTGTGAGGGTGGTTCAATAGAGACACATTTGCAGGTGCAATAATTGAGGCAAGTTAGGGTTCAATAAAGCGATTGTGTGGTGACTGACTAGTTGCTTGCGGATACCTTGAAGCAGTGGGCCACGTAATTATCCTACTTAGGCCTAAATGCTAAGTAGCGGCGCTGGTATATAGTGGGAGATTGGCGATAAGACGGAGTTGAAAACGGTCAAAATCCAGGGGAAGGAAAAAGCCTCCGTTCTCTGTGCTTGTTGAGCGGATTCGGGCGACGCTTCCGTAGGCATGATGCAATACCGCTACGGCAATGATATGTTCGTGCATATGTTACCATTATGATGCATGCAGAATCACCCGGCGTTCACACCAAACCTTTGCTTCATAAATTTGCTCAGCAACATGGATGAGAATTACTAGCGGCCAGAAACGGTCAAGGCCGTGTTTGTAGGCGGGCGGGCAAGGAAGGCGTTTGGGACGTAAAGTTGTTGCTCAATAGGGCGTTATAGAGGTACCTGGGAAAGGCTTCACGCAGCGCCTGTCCGAGGTCACGGAATTCTGCTGAGCCAGTTGTACAAATCCCATACCTGTATAGCGATTTATCGTGCCAACTGCCTTTAATGATCTCCCAGCTAGCGGACCCACAGCAGGAACCATCGCTCCTCATAACGCACAATTTCTCACGGAATGCAACCAGTGAGGTAGACCGCGCTCCATAAAACATTTTGGAAACGAGTCTGACCACCGTGTAGACGGTCGGCCGCAGGTTGATTTGTGCTTCTCAAGAATCATCCTGTGACTCCATCTGTCATCGTTACGGCAGACTTGACGAGCCCAGCGGTGTTTGCAATGGGTTTCCGAGAACTGTAATGGCATACGGTAGGAGAAGGATCTGTGTCCCGATGGATCATGCATCCTGCTGGATGGATCATGGATCCTGCTTGTTGATATCACAGCAGTAGGAACAACAGAACTGAAAGGACGTAGTGAGTTTGGCTATGGTTGGAGACAAACCCTCGTGAATGTCTTTTGATATGGATATGTGGCGTTTCAATCACAAACCTATAGTCGCTAAGTGTCTCTCCAAGGCAGAAGAAGTAAAAAGGTATTGAAAACACTCCAAGTAAAGGCCCCTGTAGCTACTACTACTACTGTACGACTTCTCCAGACCTGCTCGCTTCATGCCAGCAAAATGCTATCTTGCTGCCTGTAGCTCTCTGATCGCTTCTTCGCGTCATTCATTGCTAATACCAGTTGACAGTGAGGGAAAAACGAAAACACTTCATAAAAACAGAACTCGTGACAGAAAATAGCTTATGGGTTTTGGTGGGCGGTACAAGTACAGCGTCAGAACTGCCACTTAACGAGGCCCACTGCACCTTCGATACTTACTGTGAATTCGCTAGAGTGGGATAATCCTGAAGACTGATAACCAGACTACTTGCCAAGAAAGGATGTCTACTAATTGCTCGAGGGCGGGACTGTCTTTAGGGATGCGCAGTGCGGCAACGCAGGCGGAATCCCGAATGACATCCTGGTAATACTAGTCTCCAGCCCCGTTCCCCTACACCTTAGAGTGGAAATAAGCTGCGGGACTGCAGCTGCGAGCCATCTCACACATTTACAAGACCGGAAGCCATAAAGAAGAGTGTACAGTTTGCCTTTAGGCCTGTTATAGCCTTACCCCCTTGCCCAGAAGCCATCGCGAGACCTGAGAAAGGCGACGACAAGGATCCTCAAGTCAAAGGTGACGCACTAAGGAAAAGTGGTCAATGTTGTTGAGAATGCTAGTTCCGCTGCGGGATCTCGGTGTCGACGCTATCGGTGGACATTAGGGATATTGCGGGCGGAGTCCTGAATAGCAATCGAGTATCACTGACCTCCAGCCTCATTTCGGCGCGCTCTCTGGTCACTAAAGTGTTACACTTCTACAGCTGTCATCCGGCCTTCTCCCACACGGCAGGGATTTCCCTGAAAGTGAGTGTACAGTTTGTCTTTGAGTGATTAGCTTTCAATCCATCCTCTTTTCGAGCACGAGAAATGGCATACCCATGGTGGTTCCTGCTTTTCAGATGCTTTCAAGAAGGTGCTCTCAAAAGGGTTGAAATAGTATTGCCCATTGTAATGTCATATTTTTGCAGTCGTCGTGGTAACGGAGGGCAGCCACAGTAGCCACAGTGACGAAAGGTGAGCGAGGAGTTTGAACAGAAGCTCAGTTGAGCAACTCATACTATCTGGAGTGAGGAGAAATTTTCGTTGCAGGTACTACGGCCGTGAACGCTATGGTGAGTAGAATCAAGAGAGTTCTGTCAAATGGCTACGTTTCTGTTATAAATGGGGAAGTGGGGAAGGTGTGGGGATGTCACATCCACGTTGTGGCAATGGGGGACAAGTTCGCGGCGCTTGAGGTCAACTAGGTACAAGTTGTTGGTAAACATCGCCGCATAGTAGATATAACGTCCCTACTCCCGTGCAATTAGTGTAGCATCTAATCTATTTTTTCGAGAATTCTAGTTAATTCTATCTAAAAATGCGCATAAAGGCACTCAACTACATCACGCCAGACGGCTCGCCGGCTAACGCCGGCGCGCCTCCTTCTGTGGTAAGGGATGTCTTCGCAGTGGGGGTGCGACCTGGCCGCGCAAAGCCTCTGCGAATCTTGAGAGCACAGCCCGTTTCGAATACTGCCTTCCCATTCTAAGGACTTTTCTCTCACTTCGACTGCTAACTTCCTGTGGAGCTCAATTCTTTTTTGTGCCTATGCTGCTCTGCAACCAGTTTCTGAATTTTTGACTCTTGCCCCACCCATCACGGTGCGTGCTCCGCCCACAAAAGGCTCTCCCTTACTTCAATAGGCAATCCCTTGCACACCATTTTTCCGGTCTCTGAAGTGCTCTGCAACGAATTCAGAAATTTCTGACTTAGGCTCCACACACCCCAGTGCACGCTCTGCCCATTCTTCGTGTTCCTCTTTCACGCCATTTCCCTACTTATTGCTCACTTTCACTCACTTTTCCCCGTCTTCAAGCTGCTATGGGACAGAAATAAGAATTTTTGACCTTGGTCCCGCGCACGCTCTGCCTATTCTAGGCGGTGCCCCCTCCTTCCCATTCGGGAACTCCTCGCTGACTTTAATACACTTCCTTTCGGTGTCTAGAGTGCTCTGAAACCGTTCTACCAATTTTTCAGTTGGACCCTGTACACCGTAGCGTTCACTCTATTAGGTTGTCCGGAAAGTTTTGAGAAAATTTTGCACTTTTTAATTGAAGAAGTGCAGCAAAGCGAATGCCCAACACAGGGTCACATATTAATTCTATGAGAAAGAGAAAAGTTGCAGATCAATCCTAATGCTAGTTGGTGTTAGTCTCATGTTGGTATCAGTTACCTGAAAAATGTACTAGCGCACACGACTCCCAACGCCTTTTGAATCCCCTTTACCGTTGTGGCTGCTTTATCGGTCAAACAAGGATGACGCACCCTCACCGATGCTGGATAAAACACGCTTAAAAATCGTTTGTGATAGGAGATCAACCGGCCTCTTACATGGAAGTTTAGCTTAGATGTTGCGTACACCCCTGCATTCTCGGTACTCACTTTGTTTAGCTCCCACTCAATGTAATCCCGCCCAAAAGTTAAGGGAAATGGGATGGACAATGTTTGTAATAACTATGAATTCCTACCTTTTATCGCTGTTAATGAATATCGAATGAGCTTGTCGGAATATCTCAAAACTTTCTGGACACCCTAGTACGTGAGCCTTCCTTAGCCATTAGGTGACCCCAGCTGTTCATAGTATTTTTCTTTCCGGTGTCTCGTTTTACCGATTTTCAGGTTGGGCACCCACACTGGCCCACACAGCGCACGCTCCACCCACTGAGTGTGCCTCCCTCTTCCCATCCGGTGACCCATCCCTGACCATAATTCACCTTTCCTGGTCTCTTGAGGACTCTGGAACGAACTACAATTCTCTGGAATGCATACCTCAGTGTTTGAGGGCACGTTCCGCCCACTGTGGGGGTCTTAGCATACCCCGAACGCAACGCTCGGCAGAACCTTTCTCTACTCCATCGACTTTTTTTTGCGCTCTCTAGACTCCGTCGAAAACAGATTTACAGAATTTCGTGGGAAGTACCGGTCATCTCGAGTACGTTCTCCCTTTTCAGGTGGTCTCCTTCAACTTCTTCCACTTTCAGTCTGGCAGGCCCGGGTGCTAACCATGGTCCACTTTTTCCCCAACCTGGGGTGCATTGGAACCCAGTTATGAAATCTTGTCTGTGACACCGCTAGCTTTCGCCGCATGCCCGTCCACTGTGGCCGGGGTCGTGAGGTCCAGTTAAGTGGAAGAGGTTAAGTAAGAAAACACAACGATGTGGGGTTATAGAGCCGCAAAAGTACAACAACCTCCGGACCCGGAATATTTGCAGGAGAAAAGGAATTACGAAAACGAATCAGCCGTGGTATTTATTACACTCAGAGGTTTTATATTATTGGGTTGGAAAGAAAGTCCTGCGACACTTCGTTAAATCGTTCTAGAAAGAGATCAGGGACCACTCGAATGTTTTCACACCTGATTAAGGGAGAGTGTTCACTGAGGTTTTTGCAGATGGGTATATCGTGACTTTCTGGAAGCTTTCAAAGCCATAAAGTCCCCAGTGGTCAAAGTTCTGTTCGATCTATCTCACATTATGAGTTCCTGTAAGGCCACTCCGCCGTAGTTGAGAGCGAGCTAACACCTGCGTTGTATTCAGGAAGGAACGTCGCTTGCCGTGGCAGAGGGTTCCGTTCGTATCAGCGCTTGCAAGCTAGTTATTTTATTCGAAGGTAGGCAACGTATAGGTCGGCCACCAGCTCAGAATGACAGCCGTTCAGTCAACCTTCTGTAGGCTCAGCCGAACGTAACCACCATTAAAGGCAATTGGTACGATGATTTGGTGCTCGGCTTAAAATGCTATTAGGGGGCTATATAGTGGGGAAATGGAAAGAACGGAGTGAAACAGTCATAATCCTGTCGTAAGTATAGAGCATCCCCGTTCTTCGTGTTTCAATGAGTTTAGAAATCAATTTTGGACGAGTTTCCTGTAGGCATCTTGCCAATAACCGCTACCGAAGGTACGGCTGCATATGTGTACTCATATATCCATGCAGCATCACGGCCGCTTCATACCAATCCCTTCGCTTCATAATTTGCTTAGCAAATGAATCGATTAGAGCGTCAGGAACGGTCGTCCATTTGTGGGCGGGCGGGCGTGGCGGGCGTTTGGGTCGGTATGTTGTGGCTTGATAGGGCCCTTATAAGGGCACCTCCCTTGGAAAAGGCATTATGCAGCGCCTGCTCAGGGTCGCGGAATTCCGTCCTGCCAGGCGTATTAATCCTACTCGTCTTGGGGATTTATCGTGCCAACTGCCTTTAAGTTGGCAACCTCTCTAGGCTCCACCTAACTGACAACTGCCATGCTTCTCCGCAGTCTCGGTTATCGGAAAAATTTTGGGAAGGATGCCTCATGAGTTGAACTAGTCTGACAAAGCGCACCGAATGGTCGTGACTGAGTTTCCTTTTTTGTACACATTGGAAGGACTTTCGTGAGATCTTAACAACTCATATGGTGGTTGGTAGTAACTATGCACACATCAATTAGTAGATTGCTTACCCAAAACCAAATATGCACGGAATAAAATTTTCACTGTGTCATTAGTGGGATTTCAAAGCGCTGGAACATGGATGACGTCACGCTTGAATTCATTCAGGAACACTCACATGCTTTCTACTGGTCTGCTGTGCGAAGAGCGAACGTGAAGATCGAGCTAACCAGCCTCTAACTACCACCTCCTTCGATCCCTACCGCTTCATTTAGAAAGCAAAAATTCTGAGAATCGACGTCTACTCAAAAATGAGGTCCACCTCTTCTTTCATCATAGTTGCCGTAGTTTTATAAGAGTGGAAATGAGAAGCTGTAAGAAAGGTGGGCACTAGTCCTAGTCATTAATGGTGATTAACTTGTAGATTGGAGGAATCTCTTGGTGAAGGGAAATTTGGTCCGAAAATTCGGTCAATGTGTCGCAAGACTTTCTTTCCAACCTAGTATGATAACACTCACTAGGCATAACTCTAGAGCGCCTCCTTCTTCCCAGCCGGTTACATATCACATCATATTACACTCAGAAGTGTTTCTGCGCTTACGTCGTGCGCATTTCATCAGAGCAGTTTATACGACAAAGCGTGAAATTTGAAAAGAGTACCTGATTATAATCATTCCCACCGGGTTGTTGCGGAAATGTAACTCTATTTGCTTTTCCTTCTGACACTTGCTTGTTTTTGATCTATTTTATTGAAGGAAACCAAGGAGGTTACGGTGGAGGCCTTGGCTATGGAGAATACAGCGGACAGTATGGAAACAATGGAGGATATCGCCCAGGTGAATTTGGAAATTCATATGGTGGCGCCTACGGAAGCCCATATGGCGGCGGCTTCGGAAGTCCATATGGAGGCGGTTTCTACGGATGAATCCAGCAATTAATGTAATTTGGTCGAGAATGGAGTCTGCCATTTAGTAGTAAGGAACTCATTAATTTTATAATATTAAGGGCACTGTATTGATAATGTACAGTAATTAAATGCATTGTGCGTGGAATTTTTTTACAATAAAAAGATGACGATACATTTTTTCTCGATTCGCTGTAACACTTACTGATTTTTTCCTTACCATAACGGTGAATGATGAGAATTTCAGCGTTAACCGTCCTTTCTCGGATACGCCCTTCACCTTCGGTTCAAGAAAGAATTAGCTTTTTGCGAATTTTTTTAAGAATTTTTTCTCAAATAATGACTCGCGGGTGCAAACCAGCAAACCGGCGGGAGCAAACTGAACCAGTGCTTTCATCCTACCGGACAAGACATCCTGGCACAAATGGTCAAATTGTGGGCTTTGGGGGGGGGGGAGAGCGAACAATTCTTCAGTTGACTCAGAGATGAGCGGTTGATTATTTGATTCCCACACTACATGCATGACATGCGGCGTCACTTCTACTACACCAACTCGGCTCATCCAGGTCCCAATCAGTCGGAGCGCTTTTGAAGGGATGGAAGAAGCCTTCCATAATATCATTGGTTGCGTCCATATTAAATCGATCACTAACCGATCGCCATCGATAGCACAAAGCAGTCGAAGGCGTGCTCAATAAGCCCGTCTTGACACCCCTCCCCGGCTGATTGATTCACCAGTTAAAGGCAGTTGGCACGATGGTTTCCTACTTAGCCTAAAATGCTAGTAGGGCGCTGTATAGTGGGGAAATGGCGAAAGAACGGAGTGAAACGGTCAAAATCCTGCGAAGAAAAAGCCTCCGTTCTCAGTGACTTGTAAATCGATTTCGGACGAGTTTCCCGTAGGCATCTTACCAATCACCGCTACCGAAGATACGGCTGCATATGTGTACCCATGTATGCATGCAGCATCACGGCCGCTTCATACCAATCCCTTCGCTTCATAATTTGCTTAGCAAATGAATGAATACGAGCGTCAGGAACGTCGTCGTCCATTTGTGGGCGGGCGGGCGTGCGGGCGTTTGGGACCGAAGTTGTAAACTTGTGGCTTGATAGGGCCCTTATATGGGCACCTTCCTCGGGAAAACCGCTATAGCCTGCTCAGGGTCGCGGAATTCAATCCTGCCAGGCGTATCAATCCTACTTGTCTTTAGGATTTGTCGGCCAACTGTTTTTAACCAGCCTCACGTCTGCTATGCAATAGAAAATTAGATGAGGTTCAAAGCAAGGAATCAAGGAGGTGTAGGTGAGAAACGACAAGTTCTGCCCCTCGCACGGTCTGTTGGGCCATTATTCTTGAATCGAACTCGGCGCTAGATGTTCCATCCACATTGGCAACGAGTATGATCAAAAGGGCCTCGAGATTTTTTCACGTGCGCGTCATTCGCACCAGGACCTATTTGATTCAATGTGGATGTGCTATAGAATGTAGAGGTAATCGGCTAGGAACTACTCTGTTAGTCTGCGCAAAGTCTCGTTTGAATGTGGATTTAGTCACGTTTCAATGTGGATTTAAAGTTCTAAATTATGCGTATGTTAATGTCTTGGCAAAGTACATATAGTTGATATCGTCACAATAAGTCTGGGTGGTGACAGAAGGCGTGGAATGAGCCCGCCCTCGGCTGCGTTTTCTGCCAATAGTGTTCGCTTACTAATCAAAATGCGGCCGGCCAGGCCTCCCATCCCCTTGGAACCGGTAAACTGGTTAATGAGTTTCCTGGGAAGGCGGAGACACTGACGCGTAGATGTACCCCTCCCTCGCAGGTCATTTTATAGGCAACTCGTAATCACAATCTTTCACTGCATTTCTTGAAGGAAGTGAAATTCCTCATCCCACAAGCAGGGCACGCCATCGTTGTGATCATCACAAGGGGGGGGTCGTATTTGACCGCGAGGGAGGGGGTCGTATTTGGTCAGTTCATGGACGCACTACTATTTCCGACACTTGAAAATGATAGTTTAATTCTGACGACCTCCCCCGTACTGTATGCCC